AAGAAGTCTGGACTTGTAGGTTGAAGCTTCAGCTTCAACATTTCGTTTACCTTCCCTCTTATTTATCTTCTCTTGGCTATCTTCTCAGCCTTGTGTTATCGCTCTCTTGAATATACTTCGTATTTATTCTTGCTGAAGTGATCTAAGAAAGAATACGCATATTCAGGCTGTCAACACCTGGATTATAACTCGTAACTTTCTGAAGATAATCTGTCAGTACCTGGAGGTGATCTACAACGTGATCCTCCTAGTGTTGACTAGCCATAAGGCCATCCTCATGGTGCCCTTTTGGTGAACCATAACAGGAATCCTGGTAGGTGGTGTGAATGGCAGTGGTGATGATGTTGATTGTCAGGGCAGAGATATTCTGCCCATACTGGAGCAGGAGCATTTGGTGAGTGGTGATCCAGGCATTGGGAATTCTCATCAGAATCATCATCACCTGCAAGGAAGCAGAGATGGTGAGAGCCTGGTTATTCAAGGCTGTCATGTGGCCTATCCATTTAGCAATCTCCTCAGAAGAGTCATGTGTCACAGAGAATGCAAAGTTCTGAATGTACTGTATATGGCCCGCCACCTCAGGGAGCCCAAAGGTTCCAAAGTGGGTCTTGAGATGATGCCAAGCCTGGTGGGATGTATTGTACCCATGATGCTGGAGTGTCTTGTCCAGTTTGGTGTTCAGCACAGCTAGTGCCATCCCATCAGTGGCACACCATTCCTGCATAGCCTGTCACTCAGCCACAGTAGGTGTGGCAGGATTGGCTGGTATGGGAACAACAGTGGAACCATCTATGATGGTGCCCAAGGTCCAAACAGTTGCTGCTGTTGTTTGGACCTGCCACATGTTCAGGACATTAAGCATGGCAAACTGCCAATCGTTGTAGTCAGAAGTGCCTTTGAGGATGGGGAGAGTGGAAACAAGAGTGGTAGTAGAAGACATAGTGGTTTTAAAGAGTGTTGAAGTCTACAAATTATGGTGTAAGCATAAGTTGCACTAGGGCAAATGGACACTCTGTTCAACAAAGCTATAGATCCCAGCTTAAGCCATCATATGGCATTGGGGACAAACATGGGATGCAATGCAGAATGTTGTCTGAGTGCAGGGATGCACAAACCAACTGTTCCAACAAGACTATTTGGTCTACCCTTCACTGTGCAGAATGCTGAGTTCAAGCATGCTAGTAAAAGCACTGCTTGCACATCAGTGGTTATCACATTGCATACAGGCATAACTGGGGCCCATAACCTGTTGAAAGCAGAACATGCCAGCACATGGAGTACATATAGTGACTGGAGACTTACTTGTTAGAGTTGTTAGTTGTGCTTGTGAACACTTCAATAGAAGAGAGAAAGTTAGATTGCATAGTAGGAATACATGGGGTTTATATACTCTAGGGGGAGTCCAATGTCCCATGATGCATAGCTATTGTTTATATCTACATAATGCTGCATTGTTACCTCACTACAACTACGCACACAATGGCAAGGAGTAAGGCTACACTGCAAGCAGAGACTAGCATATTTGTATTCTAATAATAGAAACATAATGATAGATCTTCTAAGATAGTTCGTATCTGAGATCATGTCTTTGGACCAACCTAGCAGCTATCATCATATGAGCAACAAGCACTTGAGTCATGTGGTTCTCAGGGTGTTTCACCATCTCCAGTTCAATACATAGTCATTAAAGGCTGTAAAGTGAAACATGTATCAGTAATGCATGTATTTCATAACAGTACCTGAGAAGATATAAGACTATAGTATGGTAAGCATATGAGAGTAAGTGATGAATAGGCATAAGTCTCACCTCAGTAATTCGTGAAGAGAATGAGAACTGAGGAGATGGGGACTGAGTCCAGAGCTACATATAGATGTGATACTAACAAAAGGGTCATACACAAATGAATTGTGGGGCCAGAGGAATGTACTAAAGACAATGTGAAGAAGGAAGGATCAGCAGGTATCTAAGCTGGCAAATAGACTGAAGACTGACCATGACTCAATATGCATTTGTGAGTCCAACAAATTAAATAAAGTCTAAAGGACAGTCAGGCATGTATTGTGTCAGTTCATCACACTGTCTGTACCAATGCTGCACCATCCTTCCAACTGTGAATCTTAGCCACAGTGCATCACCAAGGCCCCACTTTGTTTGGAGAATTTGCTGAATTTGTGACATCACTTGGAGTCAGTTCAATGGGCAAGTCAGTTTCTGATAATTAAACATGCCCAGTATTGCTGGGAGAAGCATGCTTATTGGCCATCAGTCACAATAGTTTAGGTATGACTATATTCAACCATCATGATTAATTGAAACCTAATCCATGGTTTCAATAATCAGGACCAAAGTATGACTAGCTCTTGGTTAATAGCTCGTACATAATGACAGCCTTGTGTCCTTGAGGACCAGCAAGGTGGCAAGGCTTTTAGGAAATTTCCCCATATCTGAGCTCTATATCTAGTCCTATTACATCCGATTGACATTGACACCATGATTGAACTGTCATAGCGGGATTTTGGCTTCATCGATATCTTCTTCCTGAACGCATATAAACTGAGGAGGGGGACGCAGCCACTGACACAACCCCCCAAGTCCTCGTCACCCACCAACTACTAATACTGACATGCCCGTCAGGTTTATCCAGTCTGGACGTTGTTACAAGATCACCAATGTCAAGAATACTGACTGTGTTCTTGCTTTTGAAAGTGTTGATCACCAAAGTTCGGGTACATTGCTATTCTTGTCATTGTCTCTCCAGGAGGGTTGATAAATGTGGTATCTACTTTTATA